GTTAACCACCCGGAATTTACCCGAGGCCCCTGGGACCCCAACCAATCATATAAACCAATCCCAAAACACATTACGGACTTGCTCGAGGCTTCAAATCATATCAAACAACGCAAAAATCATGGATTACACCCCAATTCAAGCTTATGAACTCTAAAATTTCAAACTTCTATTTCCGATGTTTAAACCTATCAAATCACGTCCGATTGAGCTCAAATTTTGCACACAAGTTATATTTGACATTACGGACCTACTCCAACTTTCGGAATTGGATTCCGACCCCGATATCAAAAAGTCAACCTCCGGTCAAACTTTCCAAAACCTTCAAATTTCTATCTTTAGCCAAGTGGCTTCAAAATGACCTACGGACCTCCGAATTCACTTTCGATCGCGCTCCTAACTCCAGAATAACCATACGGAGCTATTCCCAGACTCGGAATCCCAAACGGACATCGATAACACTGAAATGCACTTCAAGCCAATCTTAAGAAATTCCTTCTAAAAGGCTAACTTCCACATTAGGCGCCAAAACGCTCCCGGGTTATCCAAAACCCGATTCGGGCATACGCCCAAGTCCGAAATCATCATACGAACCTGCTGGAACCTTCAGATCCCGATTTCGAGGTCGTTTACTTAAAATTCCAATCTTAGTTCATTCTCTCAACTTTAAGCTTCCGAAATAAGAATTCTCTTCCCAAATCTACTATGGACTTCTCGAAATTCAATTCCGACCACGCGTACAAGTCATAATACCTGAAATGAATCTGTTCATGGCCTCCGACTGCTGAACGGAGCGCTAGTACTCAAAACGACCGGTCGGGTCGTTACAATTACTCATTTCACTAATCAATCAGGACAATCTATTAAATTTTGATAAATCAAAAATTTATTTCTCCACAAATTCAACCCAATACTAGAAATGTAATTTTGCATCTTTTTCATATGAAAGAGGGGCGTAGCTTTGGGAAGTACTTGGGTTTCCCAATTTTAACATCCAGACCTACAAAATCTGACTATCAATCATTACTGGATAATTTCAAAATAAAATTGGCAGGCTGGAAAACTAATTTTCTATCTAGAGCAGGAAGACTAACTTTAATAAAATCAACACTTAATCATCTTCCAAATCACTTGATGCAATTCATAAAAATACCTACTTATATTCTAAGCCTTCTTAATAGATACCAAAGAAATTTCTTGCGGGGCACAACTGTACAAAAGAAAAATCTACATCTCCTCAAGTGGTCAACAATCACGCAACCTTTGGAACTTGGAGGCCTGGGTATACAAAGTCTTGATATAAAAAATAAGTCACTCCATGAAGGTCTTGCATGGAAAATGTTCAATAATCCTCAAGAATTATGGGCACAGGTCCTCTTAGGCAATTATGTAAGGCCAAAACTACTACCACGTTACCATAGCTCCCCTACTTGGCGTAATATTATTAACGGCTAGAAGTGTTGTCGACTAGGTTATAAATGGAATACTGCAATAGGACATCATGTCAAGTTTTGGACTGACCCATGGCTCAAGCATAATTTTACACTTAGAGACTATATTCATGGACCTATGCCCCAATTTGAGGATAATAAATTAGTTTCCGATTACTACTTTAATAATAGATGGCACCTAGACACCATGCCATTTGAGTTTCCTTTACATATTATTTCACTTATTAATAATATTTATATGCCTATTGAATTTATTAGATATGACAAAATATGCTGGAATCTAACTGAGAAAGGGATGTTCTCAGTTAAATCTATGTACAAGTGTTTAACCACTACTAATACATCCACAGCTATAATACAACCACATTCCTTCAATTGGATTTGGAAACTTCCCATTCCCCATAATTTTTTTTTTTTTGTTTGGCTACTATGTCATAATAGACTCCCAACAGCTGAGTATCTCACACGTATAGGTATTACAAACTCAGCAACATCCCACAATGTCACCAAGACACTGAAACGATTACTCACTTATTCAACAATTGTGCTAATACAATACTTCTTTGGAAATATCTTAAAATAACCCCTCATACCATCACAACATCTGCATCTCAAAATGACATTATGACTTGGTCATATAATTTTATACATACACCACTGCCATCTATACCATACAACATCCCTTCAACAACTATACTTCGATTTGCTTTATGGGAAATTTGGATAAAAAGGAATAAGTTTGTTTACGAACATAAAGTAAATGACTTAAATAAGGCTGCCTTACTAGTAAAGGTAGCTGAATATTATTTCTTAACAACTCACTCTAATAAGAAGCAGTCAAAGTCTCCTATCTATATCAAGTGGCATCCACCTGATCATATGTGTTACAAATTAAATATTGATGGATCTTGCTGCCCGGCTCTATGCACTTATGGCATTGGTGGAGTTATCCGCAATCATCAAAGCAATTCGGTCATACGATTTGCAGGATGTGTCAATCAAGGCAACCCTATCCAAATAGAACTTCTTGCACTCCTCAAAGGCTTACAAATTGCTGTCAAGCAAAAGCTCTTACCACTCACCATTGAGACTGATGCACGGAATATAATTGGTATGTTAAAATCACCTGCTATGAGCTGTATTAATATTGTTGATGATTGCGGGTCCTTGCTCCAACAGCTGGATAGCGCATCTGTACAAGTTATCTATAGAGAGCAGAATGATGTAGCAGACAAATTAGCTAAATATGGTGCAACGCATGTAAAGGAGCAATGCCTACTTTTTGAATCACCCCCACTTTTTGCAATGTCTTGTTACCAACAAGATCACCAGGGCACAC